TTCAGCTTCCCTGCTCCTCTGATGCTGCCTGGCCTGCTGTGTTCATCCAGATCTACACCTTGTTATCCCATCACTAGCCTGTAATTTTACCTTCTCCTTTATCTTTTTGATTTTATAATTATTCATGCAAATGAACCCAGACACCTACTATTTAATTAAGAGCCCCATCTGAATACCTGGTAAAATGATATGGGCTACTTTTAGTGTATAGTCCATTTCATATTGTCACTGTCTCTGTTCCTTTTTTAAGTAGCTTACTAAATGATATGAAGGGCTTACTGGCCATGTCCCTACCTCTGCACGAAGGTCTGAGTTCAAGTTTCACTTGCCCAGGGGTTTGTCAAAGCATCTCTGAACAGGTTGAATAGAAATAGCTACATCATCCTTTCCAAGGGTTCTCGTGACAAATCTTGTGATCATCTCTGAGTCAGAAGTTTTGGGTTCAAATCTCACCTGCCCCAGGTATTTGTCATTGCATGCCTGAACAGTTTGGTTGGACAACGTCATTGTGTGGATATTTTCAATGATTTAAGTCCTTCCATGAGTAGATAGATAGATAGATATACACCGAAATTGATGTGGCACTTGTTGATAGCCAACATTTTCAAAGACAATTGTGCTTCGGTAAACGTGAAAAGATTCTCTCTGGTTTACTTGTATCAATTTTTTTTCTTCTACATTAAAACGCTGTTCATAGGATTTAGAAAGAAACTGGGAGTGAAGAACAAAGAACAGTACAGCACAGAAACAGGCCCTTCAGCCCACTAAGCCTGTGCTGACCCATGGTGCCTTTCTAAACTCAAAACCTTTTGCCTCTATGCAGTTCATAGCCCTCTGTTCCCTTCCTGCTCATGTATTTGTCAAGATGCCTCTTAAATGTTGCTGTTGTATTTACCACCATCACCACCCCTGGCAGCTCATTTCCAGGCACTTAATACTTTCTGTGTAAAACAAAAGTGCCTCTTGCATCCCTTTTAAACTTTCCCCCTTTTACTTTAAACTTATGTCCCCTAGTAATTGACATTTGTACCCTGGGAAAAAGACTCCAACTATCTATTCTAGTCATGCCTCTCAAAAGTTTGTAAACCTTTATAAGGTCCCTCTGACATTCAAGTGAAAATTTTCCTATCTCTCCTCTTTGCTAATATCCTCCAAACAAGTCAATATCTAGTAAATCTTTTCTGCGTCCTCTCCAAAGTTTCCACATCCTTGTTGAAGTGTGGCGATCAGAGCTATATGCAGTGTTATAAATGTGGCCTTATTAAAATTCTATAAAGCTGCAACATGACTTGCCAAGTTTTATACTCTATGCCCCGACCGATGAAGGGAAGTATGTCATGTGCCTTCTTGACCACTTTATCCACTTGTGTTGCCGCTCTCTGAGGTGCGGACCTGTATGCCTAAGTCCCTCTGTTAATGTTTCTAAAGGTTCTGCCACTTACTGTCTTCTTCCCTCCTACATTGGAGCTTCCAAAATGCATCACCTCACATTTGTCTGGGTTAAATTCCAAATGCCATTTCTTCACCCAAGTTATCCATATCCTGCTGTATTCTCTGGCAGTCTTCCTCAGCACCGGCAGCTCCCCCAATCTTTGTGTCACCCACAAACTTACTAATCAGACCACTTACATTCTCTTCCAAAACATTTATATATACATTATAAACAACAGATGTCCAAGCGCTGATCCCTGTGGAACACTACTGGACACAGATGTCCAGTCGGAAGAACACCCTTCCACAGCTACTGTCTTCTATGACCAAACCAGTTCTGCATCTATCTTAGCAGTGCACCGTGGATCCATGTGACTTCACCTTTTATATCAGCCTACCATGAAGGAATTGTCAAAGCTTTGCTAAAGTTCATGTAGACAACATCCACTGCTTTGCCCTCATTGATCATCTTTGTCACTTCCTCAAAAAACTGGATCAAGTTTGTGGGACACAACCTCACTCAAATAAAGCCATGTTGCCTGTCGCTTGTAAGTCCATATTTTTTCCAAATGCGAGTGAATCCAATCCCTAAGAATCTTCTCCAATAATTTTCCTACCACTGACACAAGGCCCACTGGCCTGTAATCTCCCAGATTATCCCTATTGCGCTTCTTAAACAGAGGAACAATGTTGGCTACTGTGCAGTTCTCTGGAACCTCTCCTGTGACTAATGTGGATACAAAGATTTCATACAAGGCTCCTACAATTTCCTCACCCAATTCCCTCGCCATTCTGGTATCGATGCTATCAGGTCCTGGGGACTTGTGTGTCTTAATGCTTTTCAAAGCACCTAGCACCTTTTTTATATTGACGTGCCCCAGAATATCGACATATCCCTCCTCAGCCTCACCATCCACTATGTCCTTCTCCTTTGTGAATATCGATGCAAAGTATTCGTTAAAGACCTCACCCACATCCTCTGACTCCATGTATAAATTCCCTCCTTTGCCTTTGAGTGGACCTACTCTT